CGGGAGTCTCAGGCTCTCGGCCCACCCTGGACTCCTGAGTGAGGGCATCAGAGGGACAGCATGGGGGCCAGCAGGTGACATGGAGGTTAAGGTGTTGGATTCCCATAGGGTCAGCCATGTTTTGAGTCCTGGGTCTGGCAGTTTGAAAAATCATGCCAGGTGCATGTGTGTGCATGCCCAAAAATCCTGAGAGGAGAAGATTGTGGCGTGGCCATCCCCCAGGGGAGGGATTTCTCACTGTCTCTCTCTGTCTCTTTAGTGGGAGACAACATAAACAACCCGAAGGGGCCGGCACGTGGCCTGGTAGTTAAGGGTGCTGAACGCCCACATGGCCCACCACGGTTGGCAGTCCTGGACCTGGCGGCTCAGGTTCACTTTCTCTCTTTCTTTTACTCTGTCCCTCTCTGGTCAAATTAAAGCAAATAAATAAAATTAAGTAAAATGATGCTTTTTTAAAAAACCTGAAAGAAAAAAAGGACGGTATGAGCAGAGGAGAGTCAACACATATGCTCAGGCCTGGGCCCAGCCTGCATGCACATATGTGTTCATGTGTGTGCTCTATGCCTGCCTGGTGCCCTATTGGAGGAGCCCCCTCATGGCCACCCAGCACTCAGCCTCTCTTCCCTTCCCACTCACCCTGAAAAAACTGAGTCAGTGCATGGTGCGACAGCTGGATCCCACAAGGCCAGCTGAGCCTGAAAGATATGCTGGGTGCAGGTGCATAGCCAAAATGCCAGGAGACCGGAAGAGGAGAGTGCGGTGGGATGGTCACCCCCAGGAGCCTCTGTGGCCTCTAGCAAAGGTAAAAAGAAAAGTCAGGCAACCTTCCAGACCCTCACTGCAGCCAGATCACGAGGGAGTGGAAACCACCCACCCGTAGGGGGGTCTCTGGGACTGAGTTCAGCGTTCCAGCCACAGGAAATCATCCTGGAGGCCAATGAGGCTTTGGAGAGCTATGAAAAGCAGAAGAAACCCCCTCCCTGGGTAGGGCTGGACCAGCCCCTGCTATCTGGGGAGGAGCCAGAGGGTTTTTTCTTTTCTTTTCTTTGGGGGGGAGGTGGGAGGGAGGTTTTTGCTATAGGGCATGTGCGCTGGGCAGAAAGTCAGAGAGAAGCAGAGACAGAAAGTGAGAAGTCACCCCCTGGGGGGATGGCCATGCCCTGCAATCCCTTCTCCTCCATTCTCCTCTGGGATCTTGGATTAAGCCCCCAGGTCCGGGATTCCAACTGCAGTTGACTACATGGGAGTCCAGCAACCTAGACATTACACCAACTGCTGGTCCCACCTGAAATCCATTTCTGAGAGCTCCCCTGCCCCATGGCCCAGGGTTTGCAAGGGACTCCAGGGCCCAGCAGCCAGCCCAGCACCCCTCAGCCTGCTCAGCGGCTGCCCATTCTGCCCAGGAGGCACTGACCCCAGAGTCTCCAGACAGGGCCATGGAGGGCAGGCTGTCTGCCGAAAAGCTGGATGTCAGGAAGCCCACTGACCTCACGAGGCTTCTGCGAGAATATGGCCACGCTGCAATCCCTTTTCCTCCACTTTTCTCCTGGGATCTTGGGCAGGCCCAGGCGTTTGATGTGGTTTTGAAGCCTCAGGGTCTGGGACTCGAACTACAGTCAGCTACATGGAGTCCAGCACCTTGCCGTCCAGGCCACTCGCTGGTCCCTGGCTTCTGCTTTGACAGCTGTCGGCTCCTCCTTCCCTGGAGAGGAGACTGAGTCAGCATGCTGAGTCCCAGTCTCTGTGGCCAGTAGAGGGGCCGCTCTCAAGGCCCTGCTTGTAAGGGCTCCAGGGAGGGAGGGGCCCCCATTGCTGAAGGCAGCCCCAGCCCCTCCCAGCCTGGAGCAGCCCCCAGTGTTGACCTCACCCCTGTCCTCTATTAACACCCTGCCTCCTCCAATAAACCTCTTAGCCCAGCAGCCACACTCCCAGGGAAAGGGGGGTCCAAACGCCCCCTTCTCTGGCCTGGCTCCACCTTCTCCATCAGTCTGCCCTACAGGCCATGGGGAGCCTTAGACTACAAACCAGGAAGTGGGGCAGAGATTGCGCCAGCCCCACACTCGGCCAGAACATCTGGAAAAGTGGATTGCTGGCCCCCGCCAGGCTCCTCGGCACCCCCCTGGAGTAGGGGCAGGGCTGCCTGCAGAGCAGTGGGGCAACCAGCCTTCCAAGAGCCTCCAGGCTCCTGTGGTGGCCACAGGGACACCACTGCTTGTGAAAATGGAATACATACTCTCCCCACCTCCCCCTCCACCCCACCCTACCCCCAGTCAGGGGCAGGATCCAACTGGGGAGCAGCCTGGGGAAGGCCTGGGGGAAGGGGCTGCTCCCACAGGAAGTAAGGGTGGGGTCGCCCAGGCCTGCCTCTCCTGCAGGGGTTTAGGACACCTAACCCTCCCACCCCCTCCCTCTCCTGGAAGCAGGGGTTTCCAGCTGGCAGCTGGCACAGCTGCTTGTCTCTCCGGCAGGAAGTCCTGGTTGGGGCTGGTGGTGCAGGGCCGGCTCAGCCTCAGCCCTGAGCCCTCAGAAAGGGGCAGCGGCTGGAGGGCAGGGTCCTGCCTCCTGGCCTTGGTGCATGCTCATCGCCAGGCTCCAACCCCCTCCTGTCCCTCTGTTCTGCCCAGCATCCCTGCCCTGCACAGCCAGGTGCTCTGAGAGGCTTGTGGGGCACCCTTCCAGCACGATCACAAGTCAAGAGGATGCAGGGCAACCCCTCGAGGGTTTTACAGGGCAGAGGCCCCTCGTGGGTTAGGAGGGTGGGATAGAGTCTGCCACCACAAGGGGCCCTGTGGATCCACCAGGTGAACCCTCCACCCATGGGGAGGGCCTCCACTCAAGGGCTGCTGCTTCCCTGCGGGCGCTCCCTGTCTCTTCCTTCTTCTGGGCCAGGCACTGCTCTCCCAGGCTCCCTTCCCGTCCCTGGGGCAGTCCGACTTGAAATGACAAGCAAGATGGACAGCCCGGTGCCATTTGGGGAGGGTATGGGAGGTGGGCAACCACACGCTCCAGACAGGCGCTCAGCGCTTCCTCGCCTTGGTCCTGGCTTTCTCACTCCAGCAGGCCCAGCCCAAGACATGTCACCCTTGGGAGGCAGGAGGGGAGGAGGCTCCAGCAGAGACAACACCCTCCCCGCTCCCTCCTTCCTTCCTGGCAGGCCCGGTGCCCACTGCCTGGACACAGACTCCCCGGCCCACGCGGCCACCCAGCCTGCCTTCTCCGCTCGAACGCTCAGGCTGAGGAGGCAACCCGCAAGCACCGGGGCTCCCTCCAAACGCACCCCACGTCTGTGGCCCAACTGCTTCCACAAAGCCCAGAGCACAACGCCCCTCGAGGGCCCAGGCAAGCTTCAAGACGGGCTGGCGCTCTTGGGCTGACCCCCGACCGGCGGAGTGGGCTCGGAAGCCGTGGGGAGACCAGGCTGCAGGTGGGGGCGGGGCGGGGCGCCGGGGCACGGCTGGGGGGCTCGGGTCGGGAACGGGACAGGTGGGAGCAGAAGG